TCGGTGGTTCAAACTCACAGCTGCTCCTCAGAAACCCTATACAAGATCGCTGTGAGTCGGAATAATTCAACAACACTTAATAACAACAACATTATAATCAGGAGTCCTGATGTGGTGCTGTAGGATCAGCACCAGACTGCAAACCACAAGGTCAGCAGTTCAAACCCACAAACTGCTCCTGGGAAACCCTATACAGGGTTGCTATGGGTTGGAAGGGACTGGAGGGCATTTAACAACAAACAACAACAGTTTTATATCTGTGATCACAGGTTCTCTCAGAGACTCTGGTTGTTTGACTTTGCTGATAAGAGATCTTTACAGCAATACAAAAGAACAAAAGTAGTCATTTTCCTGCAAGCTGTTTTGGAGACTGACTCCCTAAATCCTTTCACCCTAGGGAATTCAGACATTTTTGCATTGTTAAACAAGAAAGCTTTTCTCCTCATCTTTCTGCAAATGTAATTAAAATGCTCCTCTCTTAAAGTTATGTGTTCTTTTTTAGAAGGCTGAAGAAGAAATAAGTAGCCAGACTTGAATCTGTTGGTGAGGAAACTTCATTCTTGTTCCTAAATAAACATTCTAAAAATGCAATCAGATTATGCTGAACTGCTTAAATATGTGTGCAGTAATGTTGGGAATTATTTGAAGTAACTGCTATTCGGCAAGTGTGTTCCTCCCCTCCCACCCCATTATTTTCTTGGATTCCAAGTAAATGAGGTTGAATGTCATTAGAAATAACTGTGAATAGATCAAATCTTTTTTTGCTCTTGAACTCTAACACTTGCTTAGATACAGAAATAACCTCAAAACTTTTCTGTTAGTTTTGTTCTTAGCTTTATGCCTTTTTGACCTAAGAGGACCCCTGTGAAGCCTGTCATATAGGGTTTCTGAGACTGTAAGTGTTCATGGGAGCAAAAAATCTCATTTTTATCCTGTGGGGCGACTACTGGGTTCAAACTGCTGACCATGTGGTTAGCAGCCCAATGCTTAACCCATTACACCACCAGAGTTCTTCCTATGAAACCTGTGGCTGTGGTTAAGTGCCGAGGAGTCGGTTCCGATTCATAGTCACCTTGTATGAGGTTCCTGAGGAATAGCTGGTGGGTTTGAACCACCTACTTTGTTAGGGTCCGATGACTTGACTTCGCACACACAGACAGAAAACAGCAAGTAACAAGCCAGGTTTATTAAGCAATGAAAGTACACTTCTCAGAAGAGAGGGAGAGGGTGTTTATCTTGCAAGTGAAAGAGAGCACCCGCATTCTGTTCTTTTCTCCTCCGTAATGGGGTTCTTGACTCAGCTTCCTCAGGTTTAATTCTGACTGATGTCAGGGTCTAGGTAGCACATATTTTGCATTCTTTTTGATGGTGTAGCAATTTCCTGGAATTGTTGATACAAGTGCCAGGTGTTGGGGTGGGGTTGGGCCGGCCATTAGGTTCTTACTCTGCCCCTAACATACCATGCAGTCCCATGCTTATCCTGCAGCACCATACCAGGACTCCAGTGAAACTTTGTTGTTGTCATTAAGTGTTGTCAAGTCAGTTCTGATCCATAGCGACCCTGTATAGAGGTTCTGAGCAGCAGCTGGTGAGCTTGCACCGCTGACCTGGTGATTCAAACTGACTTTGCAATCCAGAGCATTAAACCACAGTGCCACACTGACCCATAGCGACCCTGTATAGGGTTTCCGAGGAGCAGCTGGTGAGCTTGAACCACCGACCTTGCAATTGAAACGTCTTTGCACTCTGGTGCATTAACCCACAGTGCCACACCAGGACTCCGCTGTGTTCATTCACTGCAGGACACATTTAGGTGACTGCTTGATATGTTAATGATTTTGTTTGTTTGTTACCTGTTATCATGTCAACTCTCAACTCACTGGGACCCCATCTATTAGAGAGTAGAACTGCCCCAAAGGGGTTCCTTGGCTGTTATCTCTACAGAAGCAGGAGACCCTTGTTTTGTGAAGCCTCTAGTTGACAGGCAGAGAATTTAATCTAGCAAATGCAAATGCAGCATATATAAATTCAATGATCTTCTGAGCAAATGGTTATATATATATTTTTTTCAAATTGAGTTTCATCATCTGCAATGAGTTTGAGTCTACAGGGAAGAAGCCTCTGGTCTGGGCTTCATTGTGTGAATGGGCATATCATTATGGAAGCAACAACCATGATGCCTAGATGCCTAGAATGGGCAGTTGCTTTTTTACCTTTAAATGGACAATTTAACCAAAAAAAACCACCTCCATCCATCTTATTCCAACGTATTATGACCCTATGTAGGGTTTCTGAGGCTGCAAACGTTTACAAGAACAGATAGCCTCATCTTTCTCCTGAGGAGTGGTTGCTGAGTTTGAACTGCCCGTCTTACAGTGCTTCTCCTACATCGCCACCACAGCTTCTTAAATGGGCCTTGTTTTGTTGTTGTTGTTATGTGCCATCGAATCGGTTCCGACCCATAGCGACCCTGTATAGGGTTTCCGAGGGTGTAAATCTTTACGGGAGTAGAAAGCCTCATCTTTCTCCTGCGGAGCAGCTGGTAGTTTCGAACCGCTGACCTTAAGGTTCGCAGCCCGATTCGTAACCACTACGCTACCAGTGCTGCCTTATACTTTGTAATAATAATAATAATAATGTTGTTCTTGTTAAGTGCCGTTGAGTTGGTTCCAACACATGGTGACTCTATATAGAGTTTCTGAGGAGTGGCTGGTGAGCTTGAACTGCCAACCCTGTGGTTCAAACCAACTTGGCAGTCTAGTGCATTAACCCACAGCACCAAACCAGGATTCCAATAGTACTATTTATGTCCCCCTTTTTTTGGGTGCCTGTTTTGTGTAAGCAAGAACTAAGGGCTTTTCAGATGAACTTTCACACTGTCCAAATGTGGAGACAGTTAAAGGCCCATTTTTCATATGAGAGATTAAAATGGCATTCGGCTATAGGTAGTGGTCTGCCGCATGTTGTGTCTCATTAATGAAACAATCTGGGGTGCACCCCTTTCAGTGTGTGTGACTCTCCCCTTGTTAATTAACGATTACCCAGTACTGCTTTGTACCTATTTGCAGTTAACCAACAGACGCTGAGCAATGGATCCTGAAGTTAGTTATCTCCAGCTTTGCAGAATTATGAATTCTGTCCCAGTGAATAAGTCCTGCAAGGTCTGCAGTTCAAACCCACCAGCTGCTCTTGGAAACCCTTTACAGGGTTCCTGTGTGTTGGAACTGACTTGACGGCACTCAGGAACATCCTGATAAACCTCTTTGCACACCTTTTTGTACTTGTGAGCATATTTTTATAAGACTGGGTGGGTTCTTTGATATTAAGTCACTCCAGGAACTCAAATGATGCATGTAAATTACTCCTGGTGTAACGGCAGGGATGCTAATGGCGCAGTGGTTAAGCACTTTGCTGCTGATGAAAAGGTCAGCAGTTCAAACCTACCAGCTCCTCCACGGAAGAAAGACTGCTGCTGTTAAGTGCCATCCAGTCGGTTCTGACTCATTGTTGTTGCGCTGTCTAGTTGATTCTGACCCAGACTGACCCTGTATAGGATTTCCTAGAAGTGGCTGGTGAGCTTGAACTACCTGCCTTGTGGTTCGACCTGACTTTGCAGTCCAGTGCACAATGAGCAGCTGTTGGCTTTGAACCATCAGCCAGCAGATTACCCATTGTAGAAGATTACTCACTGGCACTGAATCCATGCTGACTCATAGTGACCCGATACGACAAACAAAACCCACTCCTCAAGGTTTTCAAGACTAAAAGCATGCTTCAACGTTCTCCAGTAGAGCGGCTGGTGGGTTCTAACTGTTGGCCTGACCTTTTGGTTTGCTGTCAAATGCTTAACCCACTGCATCCGCAAGGGCCCCCTGTAAAGATTACAGCTTTGGAAATCCCATCGGGCAGTTCTGCTGTGTCCTCGGGTCACTATGAGTCAAAATCGACACAATGGTAGTGGGAATGTTTGGCAGAGTGAGGCTACACAGTGACTAGGTCTAAGTCAGGGCTTGGGGAACAGGGGGTTTGGAAGACTCCTCAAATCACCCCCCTTACTGCACACATTGTCCAATTTACCTCTCCTCTTATTCCACCCATCCTGCGGGAACACTGTCACTTGGAAACATCTCTGTATGATAGGATCAGTTCCCCCATGTGGTTTGCTAGACCTCCAAGTCTCTGGAAGGGTCTGGGGGGCTTAAGCTGCCCTTTTAAGTAGGCTCCTATCTCTTCCCTTAGTATCCAGAGACGGAGCTTTTTTGTTTTGATGCTAGTGACCGAAATCAAACTCAACCTAGCTTATGCAGAAAGGAAGCAATTAGCCCATATCACTAAAATTTCTGAGGTTCCTCTGTGGACCCTAGATCTCAAAAAAGTGTGGCAAGCATCCCACTCTCCTTTCTCAGCTGTTTCCCTCTGAAGCATCTCCATTCACTGGAATTTATCCTCCCATTGTTCCACCCTCCTGTCCTCTCAACAACCCCACAAGAAAGCACCTTCATTCCATTCAACTTGTATTTAGTGAGGGCTTACTATGTGCTAGGGAATATTTTAGGTCTTGTGGATAGAACAACAATGGACAAAGCAGACAAAAATCCTGACCTTACCTTTCTTTACTCACTCTCTTTCCCAGAGTGCTAATGAATGTCCTCGAATTGCCTTATTGTCCTGTGTTGGGTCCCCTGCCCTGCCCTGAACTGTCCTCCAGGAAGATGAAATGATTGGCTCATCTTGGGTCCCTTGCCCCACCCACCTCCAGTCATTGGTGGCATCAGCTTCTGGGATTGAGCATGACTGGGGGAGAGGTTTGGAGGACGGGGAGTTTCCCAAAGGAAATCCCAGCATGTTGGAGAATGGATTCTGTCAAGCAATCAGAACTCATAGCTGTCCATCACCATTCATTGCGTTGCTGATTGGATACCTTAGTCCTGGGAATTCCTGCTTTAGTTTTTCCGCTTGTGTGAGTGCTTTGCTGACACAGTTTCCCCTCTGTCCTGCAGCTTCAGATGAAGATGAGTGAGCGGGCTGCCTCACTCAGCACCATGGTACCCCTGCCCCGTAGCGTCTACTGGCACCATATCACCAGGCAACACAGCACGGGCCAACTCTACCGTCTGCAAGGTAAGCCAGACGGGGGTGGACCCCATCAATAACCCTAGTCCACCGGCACTTGGTCCTTCAGAGCTTCAGTTCTCAGATATTCACATCTGTCACAGTGACCTGGGGAGCCATATGCAAGACAGACTCTTGGACCCTCCACCTTGAGGTTGTAGTCTGTAAGGTGTGTGATTGTTGGCTGACATCACAGCGACTCCATGTAGGACTGAGGGAAACATTTCCCTGTCCTGTGGCATCTTCCAGTTTGAGTCCATTGTCACAGCCAATGATGTGCAGTGCCTTCCAACCCAGTACTATATTGAACAATGCTTTGTTCTCATTGGATAATTTTCAGAAGTAGATTGCCAAGAATTTCATCCTAGTCTTAGTCTGAAGCTTCCTTGCAGCTTGTCCCTCATCGAAGACCCAAAGGATCCTTGGTAACATAGTGGATTATGTATTGGGCTGCTAACTACAAGGCCAGCAATTCGAATTCACCAGGTGCTGTGCGGAAGAAAGATGAGGCTGTCTGCTCTCATAAAGATTTATAGCCTCAGAAATGCTATACAGGGACACTATTAGTTGGAACTGGCTTCACAGCATACCACCACCATCCTGGGAGACCCTACTGGGATTTGAAATGCTGGTGGTACGGTTTCATAAGTACTATGAGTCTCTGCAGTACGACAAGCTGACAGATCGGTGGCTTCGAAATCAGCACTTTTTTTTTTCTTCCTTTTTTTAATGTTTTATTGTGATTTATGTGATAGTTTATATGGGAGAACATTCGTTTTACACTCATCTTATCGTATATTGTTTCATTGTTATGGTTACAATCCCCTCCATGCATCATCAACCAACCAAAGGGTATACACTACAAACCTGCCCCCCCGGTCATCAGCACACAGCCCCTCTCCCTCTCTGTGTCTGAAGTCCCCAGCTGCTCCATCTCTCCACGGCATCATCTCTGCCTCCATCTCAGGCTTCACTGTTTCTCTGGGTAGGGTCCTGATCTCCGCTCTTCTCCCTTGATGGTCCCAGGGACCTCCATTCCTAGACTGAAAAGTTAATCACTCTCTTCCTTGCTACAAAATGTCTACCTTTACATTTCCAATCCTCATAAGCAGTCCTGATAACAATTATTCACTATTGTATCACAAGAGACGAAATCAGCACTCTTATCAAGCTCCTACACAGGGTCTGGGAAAGAGATCTGGGGCTACCCTGTAAAAAAAAAAGTGTAGTACAGGGGTTCTCAAAGTGGGGACTGAGGTCTAACAGCCTTAGCATTACTCAGGAACTTGCTAGAGAAACGCATTTCCAGACCCCTCCCCAGATCTACAGAATCAGGAACTGTGGGTGGGAGGCACTCTAGGTGAGTCTGATAACCACTCAAGTTTGGGACCTGCTGGTCAATTGGGAAAGGCCCTGGATTAAGGCAGGGGTTCCTGGTTCCTCTGTTTGAGTTAAGCAGCTCTGAGCAGAGTAGAGAGAATGGCCTCTTTGGGGAGAAAGGGGTGGGCAGTAAGATCAGTGAGTGCTTTTGTTGGAATGTCTCCATCCTTTTAAATAATATCTGTATGTTATCCCTTCTGTGTATTATCTCCTGGGTACGTATGGTTTTTAAATTCAGAGCGCGTATGGGCATCGTTGGTGAAGAACTTCTCCCTGATATGGTACAAGAACACAGAACTATGAAGCGGATATACTGGACCCTCTGGGGCAGCAGTGTGTCTTTTCTGTGTTGGGCAGTATCACTAAGCCCTAGCACCATCCCTGCCACCTAGATTATGTGCAGAAAGTGGTAGGAATAATTGTTTGCAAGAATAAATGAATGGGTACTCTTCTCTTGACATCACTCATATACCCCCTTGTCCCACCATGCTCCTTTCAGCCCTTCCTGGAGATCATTTCTACTCAGAGAGTTTATGGTGCCATTGTCTTTTCTTTCTCCCTGAAACACTGTGTGTCCTTCCCCGTATCTCCACCCCAGGTAACTCTTTCTCGTCTTCAGACTTAGGGTCTTGTTCTCTTTGTCAAGCCAATTCCCCATGTGTAGAAGAGAACTCACACAAGGTTTTCAAGGCTGTGGTCTTTTGGAAATAGATTGTTAGGCTTGTCTTTGGGGTCATCTTTGGGTGGGTTTGAACTGCCAACCTTTTAGCTGGCAGCAGTGTGGAGCGCTCAACTGTTTGCCCCACCTAGGGATTCCTCTCAGACTTCAAGCTGGCATGATCATGCCTGTGAATATGTCCTCCTCACAGGAAGAAGATGGAGACTCTCATTTCAGATAGCATCACTGCCTTTGTTCCCCATTTCATGTGTGGGGCTATCTGGCTCTACCGAGCAGTAATGTCCATAGGCACTATGTCATTTCAATCCCTAGTGCCTTGCGTGGTGCGCCTGGTCCATACGGGTTTACGGTAAGAATGAACCACAGAAAGAGGGCTCTGAGGGTACTTGTGCCCTTCCGACTCTGTGCTCTAGTGCAGGGATGGATGTTTAGTAGTTGCACTGTAGGATGAGCATTGGACTGTTAACTGTAAGGTCTGCAGTTCAAACCTACCAGCCTCTCCGCAGAAACCCTATACAGGGTCGCTATGAGTAGGAAGTGACTCAATGGCATTAACAACAACAAAAGATGGTAAGGAAATATAACCAGAGTGATTGCACGCAGGAAGGAATGGATGGCGGGCATTGCTGATAAATAAGCTAACCCCCTAGGTATGGTTTCCCAAGATGCATGTACTCAGATCACTGTGTTAGATCTGCTCATCACAAATGCTAATTATTGTTGTTGTTAAGTGCCGTTGAGTCAGTTCTGATCATAGCAAGCCCCTGTATAGGCTTTTCAAGGAGCAGCTGGTGAGCTTGAACTGTCGACCTTGTAGTTCAAACTGACTTTGAAGTCCAGCACATTAACCCACAGCACCATACCAGGACTCCTAAATGCTCATTATCACCAAAAAATTTTAATATTTTTTGCAATATTTGAGTTATGTCATTCCAGTTTTTGTCATCTGTACACCACTTACTTTATTGTTTAATTTCATCCCATCTTCTTAAATATTATTTTAAAAGAAAAGTGCTTCTCACTACATTTAAACTGTTAATTTGTTGTTTTTGTGTGCCTAGGAGTTGGTTCCGACTCATAGCGACCCTGTACAGGGTTTCTGAGGCTCTAAATCTTTACTGGAGCAGAAAGCCTCATCTTTCTCCCGTGGAACAGCAGGTAGTTTCGAACTGCTGACCTTGCGGTTCACAGCCCGATTCGTAACCACTATGCTACTGTTAATAAAGTTCCCTTAACAGTTTAAGTGCAAGTGGTATGCAGTCAGCTACTAAAGTAAAGGTTGATGGTTCAGATCCACCCAGCAGTTCTGTAGAAGAAAGGCCTGGTAAAGCACCCCGGTAAGGATCACAGCCAAGAAGCTCTGGTGGTGTTGTTAGGTGCTGTTGAGTCGGTTCTGGCTCATAGCTAGCAACCCTATGAACAACAGGACAAAACATTGCCCAGTCTTGCACCATCAACATTCTGGTGCTATCTGACAGTGCCCCACTGTGATTCGTGAGGTTTTCAGGGGCAGTAGTCCACCTCTCCTTCCTTGTCTGTCTTCGTCTGGAAGCTCATCTGAAACCTGTCCACCGTGGGTGACCCTACTGGTGTTTCAAATACCAGTGGCCTAGCTTTCAGCTTCACAGCAACACACAAGCCACCACAGTACAACAACCTGACAGACAAGTGGTGGAAGAAACCCTGAGTAGCAGTTCAGTCCTGCAACAAATGAAATTGCGAGTCAGAATCAACCCGATGACAATGGGCTTGGGTGGTTTTTTGAAACTGATACAATGAGTTACACATTATAAAATGCATTAAGATAAACAATAACTACTTAAGGACTAAACACTAGACTACCTCAAAATATCCTGCTTGACAAATAAATGGAAAACAGAATCCTATTTATTTGTCCACTTGAAACCCCTCCTCACCTGCCCTACCCTGCCACTTGCAGGGATAAAAGTAATGAGACTAGGAATAGTCATTAATATCCTCAACCAGTGCACTGTGGCTGATGAAACCCCACTCTGCAAATTCTTTTCTTTTTGCAGATATTTATGGGTTGTGATTCCCCTGGACAGTTCACGTGTTTTGGTGCATTTTAGATTGACTCTTCCTGGTAGATCTAAGGGTTAATCTTAGAAATTATACAGATGCTTATTGGGGAATTTATTAAAGTTGCTTGAAAACAATGTTTGCATCTCCTCCTCAAATTTGGCCCTAGATAGCCACCTGCTGGCTACTTTTAGAATCTTCCCGCTGTTACTCTTCAGGAGGGGAAGAGGAGGTGCTGGTTCTGGTAGGTGTCATGGTTAATGGTGGCTATCTATGTGTTGTGGAGTTGGTTCCAACTCATAATGAACCTGTATAGGTTTCCCACAGCTGTAAATCTTTACGGGAGCAGAAAGCCTCATCTTTCTCCTGCAGAACTGCTGGTAGGTTTGAACTGCTGACCTTGAGGTTAGCAGTCTGACTCATAACCACTACGCTACCAGAGCTGGCAGGTGCCATGTACACTGAAAAATAAAACTAAACCATTGCCATCAAATAGGTTCTGCCTGTAGCAGCCCTATAGGACATAGTAGAACTGCCTCATAGGGTTTCCAAACTGTCGTCTTTATAGGAGTACATGTCAACGTTTTTCTCCCACAAAGCAGCTGGTTGGCTCCAATGACCAACCTTTCCATTAGCAACCAAGCACTCAATGAATAGGGTTCCTCCACCAATACAAAGACATTTTGTGATTTTTCCTAAATAATACTGTGCTGTGTCTAATGTAAACGTTTCCACAGCCAATTAGGCTCCTAATAATTAACAATGACTACACAAATTACTCAGTGACGTTGGTTACATTTTCCACATGCTCTTGTCAATGTTATCCCTTCTGCTTTGGTTGGCCCATGCCCAGGACTCTAGTTCCTTTGCCCCCTTACCTTCTCCTCTTTGTGCTGAAGACAGCTATTGGCCTTTCGATCTCCTATTGATGAGTTTCTAAAGGAGCACAGCACTCAATAGGTAATAGTCTTTATTTCATGAGCCAATTTGTCATGTTTGGAGAGTGCGGTGGCTCTGTAGAATAAGCACTGGACTGTGGACTACAAGGTCAGCCGTTTGAGGGTCACTGTGAGTCCAGATCGACTCGATGGCACTTAACAACACAAATCTGGTTTTAAGCTAAAAGTTGACCTCAGGGTAATTTTGGTTCACGGTTTAAATAGCATCTCAGGGTGATTGTCTAGGGAATCCCCAAGTCTCAATTGGTCCAGTGATGCTGCACCTTTTAAGAATTTGAGTTCTGCTCTGCCTTTTTCTCCCATCCTATCAAGGTCTATTGGAGTCCTGGTGTGGCACTGTGGGTTAATGCACT